CTTTGGTCCCATTTTTACTTATCCAAGGTGAAAATAAGAAATTCAATGGGAAGGAATCCATATGAGACTCTTTGAAAACTCATGAGCTAAATGATTTGGAGACAATAGGTGAACTTGATTAACTGAAGTCCCATCGCATCGAATTCAGTGTTATGTTCAGGCCTTGCCCTCGACATATGTGGTAGTTTTGTGGGTGCATTGTGCCTGGTCACCACAGATGCCCTTCTCCCCTCCCATGAGCCATGTGCCAGGGATTCATGTCCTTGTGTAGTCTCCTCCCTCTGATTTTGAGCTGACTCTGTGACTCACTTCTAACAAATATGACATGCAGAGGTAATGCTGTGTCTTCCAAGGTGAGGTATGAATCACACATTTCTGTTCAGGATTTCTCACAATGCTCTGAAGATTGGTCTCTTGGAACTCAGATGGCGTGCTGCAAGAAGCTCAAGTCGCACAAAGAAATCTCATGTTTTACTGTGGTCACCAGGCCAGCTGAGCTTCCATCTGACAGCCAGCATGTGGGCAAACCCACTTAGATGTCTAACCCAAATCTCCAACCAAGGCTTGACGAAGCCTTCAGAAGACAGCCCAGTAGCTAGCTGACCATCCCTACATCAGTCTTTAAATATAAACTGCCAACGTGAACTCAATGGACCCACAGAACCATAATCGTCATATAACGCCATTAATTTTTTTAGATACTTTGTTTACACCATGAACCAAGACAGAAATGGATAACTGGCACAGAATTTAATTCAGCAGTGCCTTTGCTATTAGCAAGGTTTTACTTTTGTACATGGTTATTACATAACATTTTAGTTTTTTATCTATTTGTTTTACTTTATGCTTACCATAAGTAAAAAAAAAAGTCTTACATTTTATATAGCTTATGAAAAACATATTCTGCATACCAGCTTTTTCATAATGATCTTATAGATGAAATGCTTACATTTATTGTGCGATGGATCCTTTTAAAGTCCCTGAAGCCCAGTGGAGACTTTCTGGAAACAATATTTTTTTTCTTTTTTTTATTGTTGGTTGTTCAAAACATTACATATTTCTTGATATATCATATTTCACAGTTTGATTCAAAAGGGTTATGAACTCCCATTTTTACCCCATATACAGATTGCTAAATCACATCAGTTACATTTCCATTGATTTACATATTGCCATTCTAGTGTCTGATGTATTCTTCTCTCTATCCTATCCTCTACTTGGAAACAATATTTTTAAGTATACAATATGAAATTTGTAGAATTACAAAAGAAAATCATATGGCAATGCAGTTTTGAAAATATTAAAAAACAAATCTGTGGTATAGCAACATATGTACTACTTATTAATACATTGAGAAGTCTAATGACTATAATTATTTTGTAACTTTGAAGAACTAATTTAAAAACAATATTTTTACAACATTTTATTATGAGAATTTTCAAATATACAGCAAAGTCAAAACAATCTTATATTTTGTTGTTGTTGTTGTTGTTACTAGGGATTGAACCCAGAGATGCTTTACCACTGAGCCATATCCCCAGCCCTTTTAAATTTTTTTATTTTGAAATGGTTTTGCTAAGTTGCTTAGGGCCTTGCTGAATTACTGAGGCTATCCTTAAACTTAACAGCCTCCTGCTTCAGACCTCCCAAGTCACTGGGATTACAGGCTCATGCATGGGTGCCTTGCTGACAATTTTAATGCTTTTATGAATTTCAATATCAGTTGCAAAGTAAACAGCAAATTGCCCCTAATTAATTCAGTGTGTATTTCATTAACTAAAAGATGTACATAAAAATTTAAATATATCTGAATCAATTATAATCTGATATCAGTAATGGAAGTCACATATTCATATCAATAATACTGCCAGTACCAAGGCTTGTTGCTAGTATTCCTAATTGAAACAAATGCTAAACTTCAGTCAGAAGTAATGAAAATAAATGTGTAATTTTTTTTCCCTCTCATTTAAGTTCACGAACCTACACAGCCATAGACTCATTGAGGTTCAAGAGCTCTAGGTGGCGTAAGATGTGATATGTGCTGATAATCCATGCATAAGTTAAAAAAAAATATAAGTCAAATACATAAGATATCACATAAAAATAAGGTTTTGAAAATAAATTCTGACATTTTTACCTATGGGGTTTTATGTCAAAAGTAATGAAAAAAGCTTGGAATCGTGCAAAACATTATTGGAAAGGAAAAGATTTGACCTCTGTGTTTGTTTTCTAGGGATTCTCTGACAAAGTACCCAAAATCAGATAGCTTCAAACAGGAGCCATTTATTGTCTCATAGTTCTAGAGACTGGAAGTCTGAAAACTGAAGTGTGATCAGAGTCATGCTCTTGCTGATGGCTCTGGAGTCACCCTACCTGCCCGTTCCAGTTTCTGGTGTTTGATGGCAAGCCAGGCGTGGCCACCATGGCATTCCTGGATTGCAGCTGTACCACTCCAGGGACATGGTCATCTTTTCTCCAGAGATCTTCATGTCCTTTACCCTCTATGCTCAGGTGCCTCTGGTCCAAATTCCCTTTTTAAAAACGGGAACACCAGTGACGGTTCAACCCACAATAACATCAGATTGTATGATTCAAAGGAATAAGAATTTAGTTGTAGTTTGAAACTATTTCTAGAAGGATCTGAAGTTAAATATGGTCTGGATTCATATGGTCTGGTCTTGGGAACAGAAACTTCTAGAGCACAAAACTTGCACCGCTGGTTGTCCCTTCATGATGGTGAGGAACTTTGAAATATACAGATACGAATGTAAAGTCATCCCAAGCATTTATATTTGAGTACACACATCAGATTTCAAATTGCTTTATTCACTTTTCAATAATACCATAGTGAAAAAAATTTTAACCAAAAATTATGTTCAAAAGAACCATTTTAAGTTCCATAATAGACCTGTAACCAATTAGTCACCAACAGTTACTGAGCAACCTAAAATAACATATTCCCTGAAGAGAAAAAAAAAATACAGTAACTGTGAGCCATGTCTTTAGGAGTTTAGAGTAAAATAAGGCAGGTTAGATTGACACACAAGGAAACAGCACGCTCACAACCAAACCATCCCTTCATTTAAAAAGTCCTTTTTAATCTCCATTTCTGTGTCCATTTCAATTTTTTCTTATTTTGAACTGATTTAAATTCCACTTAATTGCATGGTTTTTCCCTTTTTTCATTCACTGCTGATAAATACTGCTTCTACCCCCCTCCAAAAAGAGCCATCTCAAATTATTCAATGAAGCAAGCTTGTGATGTTGTCATTAGTAAGATTAAGAAGGTATAATGCTCACCACATAGAATATATTTAACCAATGTTAACTGTTTTTATTCACTATATATGTTGAACGCATGACAAAAACTCAACAGAGATATAAGTAATTCCCTGGCAGTATTGATATTTATTCAGTGAATTCTGTATAAATATCAACCTCTTTAGTTGTTTTATACTTCAGAAAACATTTAGAATAAAATTTCATTATGAGGACCTCTGGAACATTGTCATTTTATGTATGTATGTATGTATGTGTGTGGTGCTGGGGACTAAACTCGGGGCCTTGTGCATGCAAGGCAAGCACTCTCCCAACTGAGCTATATCTCCAGCCCTGGAACATTGTTATTTTTCAAATAAGAATCACAATTCCAAAGAATTCTAAAATACATTAGGGCAAAATGTGATACTTAAAAAAATAAAAAATAAAAATAATCCTTTAGACCAAATTGAAAGAGAGTCAAATTCAGATGTCATTTGTTTTCAGAGAGTAGTCTAGAAAGTATTGCTTTGGCCCATTAGATCTTTGTCAAGAGGTATCTAATATCTTTAAATTTTAATTTCCTACCTCCAGCATTACTTGAGCCTGGATGCATGTAATGTTCTTAGTGTGGTGTTTGGAATAATGATTAAAAAAAAAAACTGGCACCCAGTTCTCAGCCCCCTCCATCACTTTCTGTGACCTGAGTGTCTCAGTCAAAGTGGCTAACCTGCTAGGGAAAGAAATTTTAATGAAATGGAAAATATTATGTCTTTTTCCACAATAATATTACTTTTAATCAGAGAGAGCATTAGAAATTGGAAGAAAAATTAAAAAGTGAAATAGTTCTTTCCTCCTCTATTTGTATCTGAGTGGCTTCAGATGAGCAGGTTTTTCTCTTGGTAGCCTATTCCCTCCAGCAGAACCTTCCAGAAAGCCTTATACAGTGAAGAGAAGGACAGCAGGCTTTCCAATTGCATGGTGTTGCTTGCTGAGGAAGAAGGCAGAGGTTCGCCTGTATAATCCGATTTCATCATCTCACACTAATCACTACTGATAGTTGCAAAATTTAGCCTGGATCTGCTTAGTTAATCTAGATTGACAGGAGGTAAAAGTAAGGGGACACAAGGGCGCAGAAACAAAGAGAAGAGAGCCTACACTGATTTCCAGCCTTGTTCTTTTATCTAGGACTTCTAATTTGCTCTCCTTTGGGAATTCTATTTCTCTTACCTTATAAACAAATGCTACGGGTTGTTAAGATACCAGCCTTTCATGGAATCTTGAATCAACAACAGGTGCACCATGAGTCTCTGAGACTGCAGAGAGAGCAATACCCACGTCCTCCTGAGACTGCGCGGAAGGTACTTCCAGGTGCACATTGTATCTGATGCTATGTATTATTTATTGAAACTGAGCTCTGCACTTTCTTTATCCTCTGGGAAACACTGGAGACTGGTGCCTCCTAAAATGGATGCCACCAACAGCTAAACTGCAAAGTCTTCTAAATGTTCTTTGCTTTCATTGTTTTGTTTAATAAGAATTTGCAAGCTAGAGCTACCAAGTTTTTTAGTAAAGCTTGAAGAATAATTGGGAATTACAGTTGAACACCCGAAGGAAGAACACCTCTGTGATTTTGGTCGTTTCCACATGGATTCAAGTTTTATTTTATTTTTTTAAGGGAATACCCAGCTGGATTTTGTGGATATGTAAAAGATTTATATGTTGCAACCTCTGCCTCTATAGACTGCATGATTACTGTATCGATCTGACTGTTATGTGTGTGTTCAGATGCTTAATACCAGGAAGGAAGATGGGTTATCTGAAGATTATCTTCATTGTTACTTATGATATCTGTGTCTGGCAAACCAGAGAACTTTTTGCATTTGGGTAACAAAGAGGTTTGGAATATACTCCATTGGATGTTTCCATGTTGGTGAAACTGTTGTTGACCATCTTGGTTCTGCATGTTGCCATGCTAAAAGTACCTAAGGGTAAAAATGTCTCCTGGGTAAGTAGATGATGATTTTATATCTCTTCAAAATATATTTTAAGCACAAACATATCATTTGAGAACTTAAAGACATTTAATGGTTTCATGCTAGTAGGAGTATTTGGAAAAACTTCAGAAAGCATTTGCCTTAGAAAAGTATAAATAAAAGTGTTAGAAATCTTTCAGCAAAATCATGATGGTGAGCTTGCTAAAATATGAACTACAAGAAAAGTAAACTCTAGGTTCGTTTTGCCATTTGCAGTTACTTCTCCTTCACATACCCATGCAGATTTTAAATGTATTTGTATAAAGTCAAGGCTGTTGTTTTAAAAATGTTTCCAACTTTACAACTGATAATGTGGATTTCAAGTGGGGATGGAAGGGGCAAATCAAATTTTAAGGGTAGGATGTGTAGAGTTTTCATTATTTGGGGATATTTTCAATATGTTCCCCTTTTTCACTCTTAGAAACAAGATAGTGCTATTTCTTAATTTTATATGCCTAATTTCTATCAGTAATAAACACATACAGTGAAAGTTTAGCATTTCAGTATGAACAATAGCATATTAATCCTCATACGATTTAAATCCATAATATTATTTAAGGTAGTTTTTCAAACATACAAAGCTTGTCAGACTGAGCTTAAAATAATGAGAACCATCTGTAAATTCTTAAAAAAATAAGTACCTTTAATTCTCTGCTATCATGTTTAGTGAGCTAAACATTGAATATAATAGGCAGACGGATACCCTTCTATTTCCACATAAACTTGTAGGTCTAACACCAAATATTTAGCTGGTACCAGCACATGAAAAGTCATCCATACTCATCACAGAATTTATTATGATTATAGTTTTCTTAAAGTATATCAAAAAACAAGTGATCCTGTCTTTCTGTACAGAAACATTTTTAAACTAATTTGAAATTCATCAGGCTGTTCTTAATTTATGTGAAATAACACAATATTTGTGTGAAAATGGCAATTGTAATCTTTTTTCTGTTATGGACACTTTTTCTTTGTAGTACTTAATTAACAAAGGTCTATCTTTGTTTAAAACACCATTCCCCATTTCAGACAAATTTACAAAATGTTTGAAGCTGTTCGTTATTGAAAATTGATAGGTTTATATTTTTGCTACTGCTGACTCTTCGCTCCTTCCTTTTAGAAAGGAATATGATGGCAGTGACCTTTGGCCCCACGCGTGATTTTGTCTGTCTTCCCATCCAGGAGCCTTCATGGCGATTCTGACACCCAAATAAGGGTTGACACTTCCTGCCAGCACATGAACACCAAAGAAAGCAGTAGTTTCGAGAGTGTGTCCCCCTCCTTCATCTGACTAATCCTCCTAAAAGATTAATTCTCCCAAAGCAGTGCCTGCCTAATGGAGTACTTCTGCCATGAGAGGAAAAGTCTGGAAACCTTTTGAAAGCTCCGGCTGTCTTTGGGTTTGGTTTACTTCTGACTCAATTATACTATTTTTTTTTTAAAGATCAAATTATTGGCTAAAAACTTGGATTTATTTTAGTATCATCAGAATCCTTCCATTTTCTTAGATTAGAATTTTCTCCATATTTCCCATTCTGTTATGAACGTCTCTGTCTGCATCAGGGTCTGCCACAAGTCAAGTTTATGGGTGCAATTCCCCTGGTACTCCCTGTAATAATGCAACAGCCATTTGCTTGATGTGTGATGATCCTGTAATGAATGATCAACTTATATTGATGACTACAGTATAGTTCCTTTTGTTTGGACATCAAGTACAGAAAGACATTTTCAATGTGGACCGCTTGATTTTCATCAGTTGTGGTTGCTTCGGTTACTGAATGATCCTAAGATGAGATCTTTGGCTTTGTAGGATGAATGGTTTCTGGTAGTCCTGTTTTTGCCATTGATCATCTGCACTTTCACTTAGACTTGAGTCTGGGAGGAAAGTAAAATGATTCGTCTTGTCTCCTTATCCACAGAGGGAACCCAGTGTCGAACGTAAGTTTTAAATTCACCCCTTGGTGCCTCCAGTTCCTTAGGCACACACTCTGCCCCTGCAGTAAATGCAAACACATCTTGCTGAACAACACAAGCACCTCGGTGAAACTCCACCTTCTCTCTCCTTTGGGCCTGCACAGTGTCGGCAGATGATTCAGCTGTGCCTGACAGTGTCCCTGTCTAAAAATGATGGCAGTTACTACTATTTCTCTGAGATGAGATAAGGAATATCAGGTCATCCAAGTATGAGGGTTCACCAGTCATTTCTCAAATGCATACAGAGTGCATCTCTAAGAGACTTTTGGCACTGTAGAAAGAGCAGTGAATAGGATGCTTGAAATCCTGGACCTCATGGGGCTTACATTCTAGAGAGGGGAGATGCACGAAAATGCAAACAGATATGTAATGTGTGAGATAGTGAGTGAAATACAACAAGAAAGGGGCAGGAATCGAGAGGGATGTTGCACATAGGTTCCTCAAACTTACTTGAGAAGAGTCTTGAGGAAAATAATAGTGTGTGTGTGTGTGTGTGTGTGTGTGTGTGTGTGTGTGTGTAAGAATCGGGCATTCCCAGCAAAGAAAATGCTGGGATGGAGGAGGCAGGGCCATTCATGCCTGGAGTATGTGAGGAATGATAAGAAGGCTGGAGTGGCTGGACTGTAGGGACATTTCTTTGAATTTATGTATCTTTTATGTGTAGTCATCTCTCATTTCCAGTGGAATAGTTCCAGGACCCTTGTGGATACTAACATTTTACTATATAAAATGGTATAGTATTTGCCTATCCTATGCATCTGCTCCCAAATATGAAAGCATCTTTAGATTACTTACAATACTCAATGCAATGTAAGTGCTATGGAGTCATTACACTGTGTTGCTTAGGGAGTAATGGCAAAGAAAAATGTCTGTAATACTCAGAACATATGGAATTTCTTTTTCTTTTTTCCTGGATATTTTTGTTCCACTATTGGTTGAATTCACAGGTACAGGAACTAGCAGATACACAGCACCAACAATAGTTACATACCTGTAGTAAATGGTTCTTCAGAGATTCTGAGACAGACCTGAATCCCAGCACTCAAATTCCCAGAGAATTGTGGAATAGAGAGACTTCATAGGACAGTATACGTTGGCACTTGCCAGGTAAGGGTTACAGGTGACAGGAAGGAGGGTCAGAAAATTGGGCAAATGTCCCTTCTGGGGATTAACCACTTCCCTCTCTGCTTTTCAACTGACTGCGACTCTTAAGAATTCAGAAATGTATTACCTTTATTCATGTCATTGAGAGTGTTTCAAATGAGTGTGATTTGGGGAGTATAGAAATTAGAAGAAATTTTAAACTAAAAATTTTAAACCAAAATTGAGGATAGTGTTGAAAAAAAAAGAGTATTTAGGGGTAAGCATCCAGGCATACGGAACACACACAGCTCTTCCTATAGAAATTTATACTTTTTATTAGGATATAATTAAGTGCATACTAGAGTCTCTACACATTTTGTGACTATAAGAGACTTTTCTAGAAGTCTGGTGTTTTTTTTTTTTAGCCATACCTTGCAGACGTTTGCTCATGATAGCTGTATGGACCAGTTAAAAATTGATTTGACTTTGTCAAACTGACCTACTTTGTCAAAAAGTCACTTTGCCTTGGAAATATAAAAGTAATAAAGCCCACTTGGATTCTTCTTGCAAACTCTCATACTGATTTTTTTCAACTGTGTGAGAGCTGAAATCAATCATTCTGAACTTTCTAACATTCTAAATCTATGGTCCTGTATATAATTATTTTTATGTATAGTGCTGAATTAGATGTTGTAATTTTTTTATTATGCACCATTAGAAATTAATACAATTTATCTAAGAAAATGAAAGGGAAGCTATAAAGAACATAAATGAGTACTTAAATTTATGGAACAGAGTTCTAGAGATAAAATAAATTCAGAACTTTGGGGCTTGCTTTTTATTTCTTGATAGAGATGTTTCTAGTAAATCCACTAAGTATACCTATTGTCATAAAATAGATACTACTAAAAAATGGCAAAAAACACACCCTAACATGACTGTTAAACATACTGTATATAAAGTGGGACATTGGTACATTTCGTAAGCAGAAAACAAAAATGTCCTCTAGGGACAGGAATCTGTCACTTTTCCTTGGCCATATAATTCATCTTATTTTCATGAAGATGACCTCCAAATTATTAGGATTCATGAACTTCTGTCTGGTTCACCCCTCTAACCCTCTGTGTCTCTCTTAGGAGATTTTAAGCTGAATCAATTCATGTCATGACTCTGTTGGAGATTTACTTCTTGTTCAAGTTTCGCTACATTTGAGAGGCAATTTTTTTTCTATAGCCCCTAGATTACTTGTCTTTCAGACAATAATTTCTGAAAACATCCACTTGTATTTTTTCTTTTTATCTCTGAACCTATGCCACTGTCATTAGAAATATCTCCCTGTTATTTCTTCTCCCACCTTTCCTTATTCAGATACATTAGAAGGTTTACTAACCATTTCTCCAAAATCTATGCAGGTTTTAGGTTTTTTTTTTTACCTTAACTCATAATTGACCAGAACTCATAGTGTGTCTGGTGATAGAGACAGGTTATTTACCTATGCCCACGTTCACTGAGAGTCCTTCAGACACATATGGAGGAAGTTTTTTCTTTGCCCAGTAAATACATAGTTTGTTCTAAATACTTTAACTCTAGGTGTAGGCTTGGAAACTTGAGAGATTGTGCCAAGCTGGATTTAGTGAATGTGAATATGACACTTTATGTAGCCATTCATAAAGCTTTAAGACATCTGTACTTATATGTAACCTTCCACCATTAATTATGTTATTATCAAAATGCATATATTTTAAAAATAATCATAGTCAAGCTCAGAGGGTTCTTAGGGAATGACTATTCCCTTTTAAATATCTGTCTCAAAACTCACCTCTTCCCTATTTCTAATCCTAGTGACATTCTCTTCAACTTCAAAGAATCATTGACAATGTATTGTAATGGGGAAATATGTGCATCAGAGATGGAG